TTATTATTAGAAAATGTGATCTGCAAAATCTTTCCTTAAAAACATATTATGGAAATTTTGTGGCTAAGTACTTGAGCAATTTTTGTAATATCTTCATATACTATAAACATGCATGCATGTGTATATACATACACACATGTGTACATTTATTGCCTTTGTTATTAAATTTTATTTATTTTAATTTCATTTTTCCTCTGAATTTTTTATTTTTATTGTTGTTGAGATTTATTTTATTTATGACTTTGCTTTTTTAATCTTTGATATTTTGATTCTGAAAAAAACACATTAATATTTACTAATGACTTTTTATTTTTATTACATTTTTCTTTTGTTGTTTTGTTGTTTTTATTTAATTTCTCTATGACTTTGCTTTTTTTTGTCTGTCAGATCCATCTGATTCTGAGAGAGATATATTAAAATTTCCCATTATAATCCTACTATAATTTCCTCTATAAATGTCTAAAGATTTTCATTAGAGTAAAATTAGATTTTTTATTAGCTTTTAAAATGTGTAACAAGCATATTGAAACATAATTCACATACCATACAATTCACCCATTTAAAGTGCATACCTCAGTGTGTTTTTAGAATATTCATAAAATTGTGCAACTATCACTATGATCAATTTTAGAACATTTTTTATCACTCCATAAAGAAATCCCTTGCTCATTAGCCATCAATTTCTAATTACTGATACTTTGTATATTTAGCTACAATGTTGCAGGTTCATGTCTCTTAGGTCTTCTTTGTAAATTGTGATTTTTTTTTAATATAATGTATCTCTTTATCCTGATTAGCACTTTTAACCTTAATTCCACCTTATTTGATATTAATACTACTCCTTCCTTGCTTTTTCTCTTCTTGTAGTTTCTTGGAAATTTTTGCCTAACATTTATTTTCAAACTTTTTTTTTTAAATCACCTTTTATAAGTTGTTTTATAGATATGCAATTCTTATATATGGGGTGAGAACATGGGCAAATTTCTTAACCTTCATCACCTTTAAAATGGGTGCAATTAAAAATAACCACTTGATAGGAATTTTTTAAATGTTAAAGTAATATATGAAAATGTTTGGCACACTGCTTGGTACTAATTTCTCCATTCTTACTGGAACTACCTAAGTCAATCAGTATAACCTTATAGAGACACTGCAGCATCTCTTTGGCTGCTATCTTTGACTTTGGTCTTGTCACACTTAAGTCCAACTTCTACATTGCTGATTAATTATCAGCTCATCCCACCACCCCTGCTCCACAGCCATTATACACTTACTACTTGCTCTTCCCTGATTCTGCTGGGCTCTTTCACCTTCCTGCTTCATTCATATTTCATTACTGTCCATCTGTTAGAGTGCTCCTTCCTTCCTTGTTAGCTTTTTGAACACCTACTTTTTCTTCAAATTATCTTTCAAACTTTATCTCCCTGAGGAGAAACTCAGACATTCTTTTCCCCATACTGTCATAGCTCCTGTATGCCTCGGTTATAGCCCAATCATTTATAATTAAATTATCTGTGGGGGGCCATGAGAGAAAAGGATGTGTCTAGGTATCCTTTGATGTGACACAACTGTAGCTTTAAAATTGATTCTAGATGAATGTTTAGTTTCTATGAATGAATACTTAGTCTCCATGTGCTGGGCATTATGCTAGTGATAGGTATGCAGACATATATGCCCTCAAGAGGTGCACAGTGTGAAGTTGGATAAGGGACAAAAGATTCATGTCATGAATTAACACCCTATTTCATTTTCAGTTAAAGGATGTCAGAATTTAGGCTATTCATTTTTTTGAAGGGATGAATTAATAGTAATTTAAAATTATTTTAATTTACCTGCTAATGAAAGCAGTTTTATTGTAAGTTTTGCCTCTTTAAAAAATGTATTTTTATATACCCAAATGTCAAGCTTCTTGTGATAAGAGCAGATGAACATTGTTTCTATGTTTCAGGTGATTTACTGGAAGTAGGGGGTTTGCATCAATTATAAGTGGAACCTTGGGAGTGAGACTGAGCTAAACTACTTTCTCTGTGCTTTCTGAATTTTGAGATGTTTAAAGTGCAAGTCTTGGGTATTGATTCATAGCATATTTGCAGAAGTTGAAGTGATCATTCCCTAGTTCTAATTTTTCAAGCTCTAAGAATTTTTTTATTTTCTCAGCTTGCACAGTTTAACAATTGTGAGACCAAAAATGTTTATTAGTTAATTGAATACTGTGGTGTATATAGAATTGCCATGTATAGTATTTGCATATAATATTAAAAATAATTTAGTTTTTCTTTATTAATACAAGTCACTTTAGCACCCTGGTAGGCTTTAGCATTATCATTTGAGAGTTAATAACCATTGTATCTTAGGTACAGAAGTGCTTTTTAAAGCAGCAAGGATTGATAGACTGCTGTATTCACAAGTAGTTTCAATTTTGTTGCCTCTGGTGAATTTACTTACTTGTTATTTTCTGTATGATTCTTTGGGATTATGACATTTGGAAATAGGACATAAGTTTACTGTATTATATCTGTGTTCTTAATAACTGTGAGGGCATTTTTAATGTTATGAAAAATGCAAGTTAGAAGAAATTCTCTTTTTCTCGTCTGTGCATAAAGACACTAAGTCCTTTAAGACACAACTCTGCAAAGTACAGAAGCAATCCATGGAATATTTTCAGTGGCATGTGGAATTTTGTTGTTCAGCAAATATAGTCAGATTATAGGAATTTTTATTTATTCTGAATTTAGTTTTTAATAAGAATTTCATAATTAAAAATTAATAGCAGCAAATAATATTGCCATTGAAGGGACATAAGTTTAATTTGTATGTATTAGAAATTTTTAGTTACAGTATAGTGATGGTGATGTAAGGATTTTGTATAGAAAGACGTTTTAGTGAAGGGCTTTTCAGACAGCTAGTAATTAAACCAGGAGAGAATGGTTTATAATCCAAGAGAGAAGAGCAATTTAGGAGGAAGAGTTGATGAACACTATAAAACTAAAGGAAAAAAAAAAGTTAAGTAATATGACAAAACAGGATATATTGGTTTAAATAATTACAAAAGCAGTTTTAATGGAGCAGTTGGAACAGGAGCCAAATTGCAGTGGATATCATCTATCTTGTTTTCTCTCTTTCACACCAGGGAACTAGTTAGAAAACTGCTATTATAATCAATTCTGGTTGGCATTGTTAGTGAATGCAACATATGTTGAAGTTCAATCTTGTAACATTACAATGTGAGATGAGTAGTGATGTTTTTATCCTAGTAGGTGACTTTCTCAGCTTCTCTTGAACATCAGATCTATGAAACTAAAATTAATGTAAATGCTTCTTAATAACGGGACTGATTTTCACTTAAATTTTCTACTTCTCATTTCACATGGATTTTAAGAACTTCTTTGTCAAACTAACTTCTTAACTTGGCTTCCACAATATTTAGACTCTATGGTAAGTTCTCAAAAAATATTTGATGTGTTTGGACTCTATTTTAAAACAACATTATTGACTCTATTTTATCCCCTCACTCTGGATGGGGAGAACTCAGGGAATAATAAAGTAGGAACGGCAAACTAAGCCATAGACAGCCTAGACTACTTTGCATTCTAACAGGACACTAACAAAGTGACCTGTCTTTTCCTGTCTGATTTTCAGGACCTCCTTATAAGTTGAGATAGATAATGAAATAAAATATGAATATGTAAACTACATGTACTGATTTCAGCCAAAGTCAGAGAAGTACTAGGGTGACTCTACATAGAAGCTTTCTTTAGGATACAGACTCAACTCTTTTATCTATGTTGTACTCTTCCTCAAGGGTGGATCTAACTAAATTATGTGTGATTCTGCTTCTAATTACTATATAATGCATTGTTTGTGTGTGTTTATTTATTTATTTATTTATTTATTATTATAACCATTATTATAAGGTAGATTTCCTTTTGCCATAGCATCTTGGAATATGTATGAACCTAGAAAACTTAAAGACTTTTAACTCTGTCTGGTCAGATTCCTACTCTACTTTTGTCTGCTCTCATTTTTGTGAGTGAAAGAGTGAATGCAAATCATTCCACAGTTTTAATTCCTTGTTTTGTCTCTCAGTTCCTGGGGTCTAGCTGACCTGCATGATTTTCTCAGAGATTACTAATTTAAGCACTTCTGTTTATGCAAGGTAACCTGATGCCTTTCTCTGCTCATGTACCATAGATTCCCTCTCTGGTTATATTTCCTACTTAACAAGTGAATTGTGATAAGTAAAATAGTAATATTGAATGGACATAATAAACAACTTTATAATAGCCTCTTAAAATTCTTTAACGATGAGGGAAATTGTTAAGGAAAATATATTATTCATGATAATTACAGCAAATGGAGTATAGTATTGAAAAGAAAAGAGAACAGCTAGATTAGCAGCATTTAAAAACTTCATGCTCCAGGGTTTGAGGGGAGGGAGGAATGAATAAGTGGCACACAGAGGATTTTTAGGGCAGCAAAACTACTCTGTATGATATTATAATGGTGGGCACATGTTACTATACATTTGTCAAAACTCAAGTATATACAACACCAAGAATGAAGCCTAATGTAAACTATGAACTTTGGGTGATAATGTTATGTCAGTGTAGGTTCATTGATTGTAACAAATGTACCACTGTAGTGCACAATATCAATAGTTGCCAGGGGAGGGGGTTGTGTGTGGGGGGGTACATGGAAAATATCTTTATATTCTGCTCAGTTTTGCTATGAATCTAAAATTGCACTAATAAAGTCTATTTTAAAACAACAACAAAAAAGTTTATGCTCATTAACATCTTAGAAGCATCCAGAAAATGAACTGAAATTTACTTTCTTTAACTCAAAATGAATGACTTAACCTATTTGGGAAATTTGTGTACCCAAGGGAAATACCTCTCTTGCTTCTCTCACTAGCTGCCTCTTCTGGTAAGCATTAAAAAAGCTGTGAATTCAATTATTTGTATTACACTTTATTAACATTTGCTTCCATTTACCTCTAGGTTTGAAGTTTGAGGAAATTCAAGAAAGATTTGGTGAGGAGTTCTTTAATATATGCTTTGATGAGAATGAGAGAGTCCTTCGAGCTGTAGGTGGCACGTTGCAGGACTTTTTTAATGGCTTTGATGCTTTGTTGGAACACATTAGAACTTCTTTTGGAAAACAGGCCACTCTGGAGTCACCATCATTCCTATGCAAAGAGCTCCCTGAAGGTAATCTTATGCTCCACTACTTCCACCCTCACCACATTGTGGGGTTTGCAATGCTTGGAATGATTAAGGCTGCAGGAAAGAAAATCTATCAGCTGGACGTAGAAGTGGACCAGGTTGCAAATGAGAAACTGTGCTCTGATGGTTCAAACCCAGGCAATTGTAGTGGTCTTACTTTCCTTATCAAACAATGTGAAAATACTAGTATCACGAAGAACCTTCCACAGGGAACCTCCCAAGTTCCTGCGGACCTCAGAATTAGCATCAACACCTTCTGCAGAGCCTTCCCTTTCCATTTGATGTTTGACCCCCACATGACAGTCCTTCAGCTTGGGGAAGGCCTAAGGAAGCAGCTCCGATGTGACACTCACAAAGTGCTCAGGTTTGAGGACTGCTTCGAGATTGTTTCTCCAAAGGTTAATGCCACCTTCGAAAGGGTTCTGCTGCGACTGTCCACGCCATTTGTGATTAGGACCAAGCCTGAGGCTTCTGGCACTGAGAATAAAGACAAGGTAAGTGGCTATGGACTTGATATGGGTGATGGGAACTAGGAGATTTACATAATTATTTTAGTAAATTACATGATGGCAGTACTTGTCATTATTTAGGCAAGATAACCTAGAGTGTCATTTAGAAAATTACTTGTCCCTGGATATATGTAAAAAGATTTGGCCTTATTCCCAGCCATTTTGCATAGTGTCTGCCTCTTTCATTAATTTATTTCATCATATAAAAAGAAGACATTTATTAATACTAGCCATAGTAATTACAAAAATGATAAGACTCCCTAAAAACTGGATACTGTAAACCCATGACTGTTTCCACTGTTCGAAGTCAAACTATGAAAGAAATAGTAAGACTGATTTCAACATTGTGGGGATCGCTTGCCTTATTCTTAAATATTACATAAATATAGGTAAAAAGCTAGCTACATTTTGAATATGTTATGTTTTAAATTTCATAATCTAGGAACACCTGGTTTATATCCTATTATTTTCTTAATATGCAGAATAATGTATCAAGTGACTATCTCAAGACTTCTCTTCTAATTAAATTTTAGTGTTGAAAAAGAGACATTTCTTTAGAACATGTTCACTTCTTGAGAGAAGACACTGGAATTATTCTTTTAAATTTAGGGAATATTAAAGCTATTGGTTTTGATTTATAGAAGTACAATATTTGGCTAGAAGTGTTTGAAGCATTTTTGGCCTTAGAATTGAAGTTAATATTATTGAAAATGTGCCTGAAGTAGAATATATTATTACCAATGTTGATTGCTTTATATATTTTGTAGATTTGACAACAATTAATTCAATTTAAAGTTACTGCTTCAGATTTTTCCCCCTATATTTCATCTTGTATGTCTATTTAATTTGTATACCACAGTAAGAAATAGACACAGTGAAATGATGACTCAGATGTCAAGGCCCCCTGCCAGTTCCAATAATAATGAACTATGCTCATTGAGAAGATGCAATTATAATTTAAACATGTTAGTGGCAGTTTAAAAATAAAGCAATAGGCAGGATTTTTAGTTAGAATAGGGATGGAAATCCTCTCATTCTCTGTGCATTTCTGCTTATTCACCTGGGTTTGCCAGAATGGGACATTTGGGAGGCTACAGTTAGCCCCAATAAAATTATAATCAATAAAGTTATGGCATGGAATCTTAACCAGATGAGTAATATTTTTGAATTGTTATGTTCCAAATTCCAAATTTATAGTTTCCTAAAACATGGAAAGAAGAAAATCAGGGTTAAAAATTATGATCCTGTTGATAAATTTGACCTTGATATTCATTATTTTTCCCATAATTTCTGGTCTTGTTAATAACTCCATGTTATCTGAAGTTTCTAATTTTGTATTGGGCTTTGATAAGAAAGTTCTAATTTTCAATAATGTAAGATATTTATTCTTTAGTCTACAGTGAAGGCTTTCATTATAATTTAACTATTTTAGCTCTGCACTTAATAACAATGGCCTACCATCCCTGCCATCAAAAAGAAAAACAACAGAAACAAGAGCGAATCATACAGCTGAATGATGGTAAATCATTTGCAGAGTGAACTGTAATGCTTTTGCTAAACCATGATCTTTGTCATTTTGTGTTGTCAGTAGTGTTAACTATATAACTAGAGGTAGAACACTCTTGTAAGCAATTTGGTGAGGTAGCCATCATCCTATTTTCAAAGAATTTACATCTCGATTCTGCAGTAATGAGTTATAAAGACATAAGTGTTTGTTACCAGAAGCAAAAATATCACTGAGAGGCATCTGATGCATTTTCAAAGAGAGTCAAAGGGGAATCTGAGTTTTCAACCATGAAAAGCTCATCCTTTTATCAATACTAAGTTAGAATAATTCTCTGACAAATTAGGCTGCCTACCTCGGAAAGTTATTTGTGAAGATTAAATGACACAATCCATGTAAAATTCTTATTATATCTTTGGCTTCAGGGTTAAGTGTTGAATAAATGTTCATTATTGTTACTTCTACCACTATTATTATTATTATTGTTCCTTTCCCCTTGTCACGTTCCTCCTATCCTCTCTTCTTGCCTTATGGAAGTTAGTACTGGAAATCAGTAGGTTGAATAATTTTAGAGAAATATCAACTCTACTTAACATGTTCACAAAATACGAGTTGGGTTTGTCTTCTTAATAATGACTAGAAGACCATTTGTCACAAATCCTGTAGGAGCTTTGTTTGAATCTGCTTTTTTATTTATAGGCTATCATTGTTTTAAAACCCCTAGTCTCTTTTTCAAATTCACTAAAGTTTGGAATCAAGTTTTTATTACCTGTGTCTATTAATATATTTTATGTTCACTTGTTACAGCACTTTGTTGTGTCAGTGGCTTCCAAAATAAAATGGACTGGTTAGCTTAGGAAAAACCTGAAACAGCAATGGATTTGAGAATCAATAAATGAGTTCCTTTAACAATTTTTTTTCCTTAGTAGCAATGTTTCAAAGAACATTGTGGAAGAGTCCAGCATTTGAAATACATCATCCCTATGATACAGCAATGGCATGCTGTTCATCTTCACTTTTGTTCTCAAGGTTAGAACTTAGGAAAAGCATAATAACAACAACACATTTCTTTTTCAATCCCCAGAAATATCATCACATTTTGCCTTTTTAATTAGAAGCTGCAAGACAAATATCAGGAGATAATTTTAAAAGACTAAAGGAAGAATTAACCTCTGATTTTCTGTGGTCAAATCAGTTTCCAAAATGCTCCTTTATCTTTTCTAGACATGTGCCCATTATTTTTCTGACATAGTGATTGAAAAGTTTAAAATATATTTATTAATCTTACCAATGCATGATGATGCTGTTGAGAGACAAATTTCATCCAGTTGTTAAGAATACATTATTTGACTTCAACTTAAAATTAATTTAATTTGGGAAAATGTGAGCATTCCTTCTCTGCTCAGATCATAATATTCTATTAGAGAATTTCAGATACTGAACAATGTTTTAGTGATGGATAAAATGACACTAGGACTTTTTCTATAAATGAGCACTATAGAACATAGATGTACAATAACTTCGATCAAAATTATCTGGAGTTTTCTTTGCTCTTATAATTATAAATGAAATATTTAATTTTAATTTTTATGTTTATTTTCTCTAGAATTTCTCCCTGACCATAAACTACCTTTTAAAGTAGGTTAGACAAATTTAGATTTTTTTTTTAATTGAAGTATAGTTGATTTACAATATTATATTGGTTTTAGGTGTACAGCATAGTGATTCAGTATTTTTACAATTATACACCATTAAAAGTTATTACAAGGTAATGGCTATAATTCCCTGTGCTATAAAATATATCCTTGGTGCTTATCTATTTTATACATAGTAGTTTGTATCTCTTTTTTTTTTTTTTTTGCGATATGTGGGCCTCTCACTGTCGTGGCCTTTCCCGTTGCCGGACGCGCAAGCTCAGCGCCCATGGCTCACAGGCCCAGCCGCTCCGCGGCATGTGCGATCCTCCCGGACCGGGGCACGAACCCGTATCCCCTGCATCGGCAGGCGGACTCTCAACCACTGCGCCACCAGGGAGGCCCAGTAGTTTGTATCTCTTAATCCCATACCCCCAATTTTCCACTCCCCTTTCCCTCTCCCATTTGGTAACCACTAGTTTCTTTTCCTTCTGTGTGAGTCTATTTTCATTTGCGTATACATTTGTTTGTAGTATTTTTTAGATTCCACATATAAGAGATATGTAGTATTTGTCTTTCTTTGTCTGACTTATTTCACTAAGCATAATATTCTCTAGGTCCATCCACATTGCTGCAAATGGCAGAATTTTATTTTATTTTTAAATGGCTGAGTAATATTCCACTGTATATATCTTCTTTATCCATTCTTCTATTCATGGGCACTTGAGCTGCTTCCATATCTTAGCTATTGGAAATTGTGCTGCTATGAACATTGGGGTGCATGTATCTGTTCTAATTAGTGTTTTCATTTTTATATACTCAGGAGTGGAATTGTGGATCAGATGATAATTCTACTTTTAGTTTTTTGAGCAACCTCCAGACTGTTTTCCATAGTGGTTGCACCAATTTACATTACCACCAATGGTTTACAATGGTTCCTTTTTCTCCACACCCTCTCCAAAATTTGTTATTTGTAGACTTTTTGATGATAGCCATTCTAATAGGTGTGAGGTGATGTCTTGCTGTCGTTTTGATTTGCATTTCTCTAATAAGTAGTGACGTTGAGCATCTTTTCATGTCCCATTGGCCATCTGTATGTCTTCTCAGAAAAAATGTCTTTTCAGGTTTTCTGCCCAGATTTTCATTGGGCTGCTTGTTTTTTATATACTGAGATGTATGAGCTGTCTATGTATTTTAGATATTAACCCCTTGATGGTCATATAATTTGCAAATATTTCCTCTAATTCCATAGGTCGTATTTTCATTTTGTTGATGATTTCCTTTGCTGTACAAAAAATTTTACGTTTTATTAGGTCCCATTTGTTTATTTTTGCTTTTATTTCTTTGGTCTTAGGGAACACATACAGAAAAATATTGCTCGATTTATGTCAGTGTTCTGCCTATGTTTTCTTCTAGGAGTTTTATGGTTTCCAGTCTCACATTTAGGTCTTTAATTCATTTTTGGAGTTTATTTTTGTATATGGTATGAGGAAATGTTCTAATGTCATTGTTTTACATGTTTTTTCAACACCAACTTGTTGAAGAGTCTGTCTTTTCTCCATTGTATATTCTTACCTCCTTTGTCATAGATTAATTGACTGTCATAGTGTGGGTTTATTTCTGGACTCTCTATTCTACTCAGTTGATCTATGTGTCTGTTTTTGTGCTAGTAGTATGCTGTTTTGACTACTGTAGCTTTGTAGTATAATCTGAAGCCTGGGAATGTGATAGCTCCAGGTCTGTTCTTTATTTCTAAAGATTGCCTTGGCAATTTGGGGTCTTTTTTGGTTCCACATAAATTTTAGAATCATTTGTTCTAATTCTGTGAAAATATCGTAGGTATTTTG